ACTTTTGAACTCACAATGTCCACAGTTAGAGAGTAAGCTTGCAAGAAACATAACTTGATTGAACTTGACTATTCTACTAACTTATTCAGCCAAAGGGAAATGCATAACAGATATGTAAGAGTGAAAAAGGAGCACAAGGTAACATGTCTTCCTTCAAGATATACTAAAGATATCTTAAAGACTTTTACTGCATCAGTATAAAGTCTACTAATATGTATATGAAGTTCATAAAGAAAAGTCCTATAAACTCCAGTCATCATTTGGATCAAGCCTAAGTTGGTAATTTTACAGTATGAATATTTTAATTCATATTTGATTTGGGGCTTAAAAATCCTGAGGATAAATGCTGCCTGTGACTATTTAAACACTGTAATTTAGTTTATATTTTTTTATTATATCTACACTAAAATGGCAGGAGTGGAACATGGTTTAAGTTACAGCTGAAGAAAATCAGGTAATGAAATAAAATAGAGAGTTTGAGTGCAGTTATGAAATTGAGATAAACAAACAAAAACACGTTATGGGAAGTCGTCCCTTGACATGTTTAAGAATGAGATAAATGTCCAGCTGTCTAGAAGAGTTTCAAGATGGCTTGCCCGGAAGAAGGGAAACAAGATCTGCTAATTTACAAAATTTCCACAGCATCAATTTGATATTGTCAGAATGCTGCCTTGAGCACTGTTACACAATCCAGGAGATTAAAGTAAGTGCTTCTAGTAAAAATCTTCTGAAAACTGGGATTTACTCTGAATGAGACCTGAGTATGGTAAATCCAATGAACCTGTTACCGTGCATCAGACTGTGCTACACACATCACAGTCTTGATGTGACTACCGCACGTCTTCCTCCATCAAGCTTTGTTTTCTTGCTTTTACTCTCTGAATGAGTCTGAACAGTAGCCAGCATGGCACCTTGCAGGATTATCCATTTTGTAAATGCACATGCTAGAAGGATAACAGGACAAAGCCCTGTATCTCTCCTCCAAGAATATTAATAATACTAATATTTTTAACATCCATATTAATGGGTTTTTCATGAGTCATTACTTAATACCATATGGTTAATTGTTCAATAATCATTTGCATTAAATTTTACCCTCAGTTTAATATATTTAGGAGCTCTGGTGGTGCAGTGGTTAAGGCATTCAGCTTTTAATCAAAAGGGTCAGCAGTTCGAACCCACCAGCCCCTCCACAGGAGAAGATGATGCAGTCTGCTCCCAGTAAGATTTACAGCCTTGGAAACCCTATGGGATAGTTCTAATCTGTCCTATATATTTTGTCGCTATTAGTTGGAATTGGCTTAAAGCAGTGGGTTTATTTTTTGGGTTTTAATATATTTTATCAGATACGTTTTTTAATTTTTAACAATAAAATAAACTTCATACAAAACACAAAGTGCAAAATTTTTGAATAATACACAAGTGACTTTTACCCGCAAAATTCCATGAAATTTTAACAATGGTGCTAATTAATATAAATGCAGTGTGATGTTTCAATGCTGCCCTTGTGGTCTTTCACACTGCTACTTAGAAGACGGTGAAAAAAGACAAAAACCATTGCTGTAAAGTCAATTCTGATTCATACAGACTGTATAGGACCAGGTAGAACTGCTTCATGGGTTTTGTTGGGGTGTAATCTTTACAGAAGCAGACTGACACATCTTCCTGGTGGTTTCAAACCCCAGACCTTTTGGTTAGCAGCTGAGTAATTAACCACTGTGCCACCAAGACTCTTTGGCAGTGAGATCAGTGGGAATACTTTGTTCTCATCATTCAGCGAGCATATAGTCTCTGAAAGGCCCTTGTCTTTTGTAACAGCATGACCCTCTAACAGCTGAAATAATGTAGGCGCCTCTCCATTTAATCTGCCTCATATTCAGACCTGTAAGGAGCTCTGGTGGCGTAGTAGGTAAAGCATCTGGCTGCTAACCGATGGTCATTAGTTCAAGCCCACCAGCAGGTCTGCAGAAGGAAGATGGTGTAATATACTTCTGTAACGATTTATAGTCTGGGAAACCCAATGGGGGTCAGTCACTATGAGTTGGAATCCACATGATAGCAGTGAGTTTGGTTTTTCTCTTCTTTTTTTTTTTTTTTTTGATGCTTTCTGAAAGAAGTGCTGGTAGCGCAGGGGTAAGTGCATGGCTGATGACTGGAAAAGGTCAGCAACTGGAATCGACCAGGTGTTCTGAGGGAGAAAGATGTTGTGACTGCTTCCTTGAAAGATTTCAGCTTTGGGGACCAATGGAGCCATTCGACTCTGTCCTATAGAGGTAGGATTGACTCCATGACACACTACAGCAGCAACGAGCTATCTGATCACCACTGCTAGTTAGAAGCAGGACTGTTTCTGCTTGAAAAAATGGGCACATTCAGTTCCTCACATCACACACACATATACATGCACACGCTCACACACACACTTCATTGCACTTTGGCTGTATCTCCCCAATCCAATCAAATTCTGAACTCCAGCATTATATATGTTCTTTGATAAATTCTAAAATGTGAATCCATCCTTACCTACTTCTACTCAATACACAGCACAAACTGACCCCCTGCAGTATTCCCTCATAGTTTCATCAATCCTCAACATTTCCTGACAACGGCCACTAACATTTTTATCTCTCTTTTTTCTTAGCACCTATCACACTTATTGTCTAATTCATAAATCAAGGTCTTGTCTAATTTACTTAATACTTTCTAATCTTACCTATTCTAAATATTGAAAATTACTTTACATTTTGCTTTATTATTTTCTCCCCCACCCTAGGGTAATTTCCAGCAATCTGTTGGTGAATAATTGCAGAAATAATGATATATTATATTCATATACTATTTTACCATTTTAAAAGGTAGTTAACATATATTATTTCCCTAATGCCCATGAAATACCCAAGCAAAAATTATATTCATTTTATAAAAGCAAAAAGTAAGGCTCAATGAAGTTTTTTATTTTTTCATGTCTAAAAATCCAATAAACAGCTAAAGATTCTGAAACTCCAAACCTGTCCACATATCACTACAAACACATAAACTGATTTGGAATTTTGGGGAAAATTATTCATATGAAGGAAATATTTTAAAATCCCACTAAGGCATCATTGTATCCTTTCTTACACACTGGCTGGCATCTCATTTCTTCTGACATCTCAAAACTTTTAAAATCACATTTTTAAAAGATAAATGAAGAGACCAGAAGGCAGGATCCCACCACTACTGGAAGTTTCCCCCTCCTGCCCTCGCCTGCAAATGTATTCTTAATTATGGGAGAAGGGCTACATAAAGATTCCCTGAATATCTTTACTAAGAAGATTAAACCCACCTGTTTTGAGGATTTAGAGGTAATACTATTGCAAGATTGCATATGGCATTCCCAAAGAGTGGTCGGTTGTAGCTACTCTCTACTTTTACAATAAAATCCAGGCAACCTGAGTACATACTGCACAGGGATTGCACACCGCTCTGAGCAAGCGTGAGATACGGAGGTGGTTTTGAACACAGTACCACACTGAAACTACCTGAAGCTTTCCCCATATCCCAGTGAAGATAGAAAGAAAGCAACAAACCCCTTTCACATATAAGAACTCATAAAAACTGCAGGGTCCCGATTTTAATGCCTCTGTACTTTTTGACTAAGATGTCTATGTTTTTCTGCCTTTGCCTATACTTCTACTAAGTACAAGTTTAAAGGCAAACCATTTACACAGAGATGTGGAGGCTGAAAACTGGGACTTCATAAACAGTTGTCTTCTTTGACAAGAAAAAACATCTGTCTCACTTTGCTACTGGAAAGACAGGGTTGGAGCCTACCATGGATAATTCAGAATACAAGTTAATTCTGGAAAAAAAGTGCCTGACCTGTTTATTACTGGCTAAGAAATATTGAATTCCTGATGGTTAATCTCAGCATAGAGGGACTTTCACCCCTACATTCCAACCCAATGTAAAAGCTAAGGAAAATATTTTATGCCCCAGCATTCACAGTCAATCAAAAACAATCATTTTAAAGGCTAATCTTCTTTTTAAAACTTTTATAGAGATATGTATTTGCAATATGTGAACTGTCACTGGAATCATAAATCTAGTATGTACCTTAAGAGCTAGAGGCATTAAAAAAAGAAAAGAAAAAAACACACTTATACACAAGACATCAGATTAAAGATTTAACAAGGAAGAGACATACAGAAAGAACTCATTTTTTAATCTTTAAGGAGACTATACCGGTGCCTCCTTATCCTTCTTGAAGATGTAGGTAAAAAATATGTAAGAGACATATTCACACAAAGGGACAGACACATTCAGTGGATTCATTCTTAAACTCTCCGCATTTAATGAACAAGGTCATCTAAATAAGTGTTCGGCTCCTAAACAAAAGGATAGCAGTTCAAACCTCCAGCCACGCCACGAGACAGATGTGCCAGTCTGTTTCCATAAAGATTTACAGCTTTGGATACCCTATGCGGGAATTCTACTCTGTCTTATAGGGTTGCTATGAGTAGGAACTGACTTAATGGCAATGAGTTATTATTTTCTTCACTTGGTTTGTTTGTCTAAAAGCTCCAGGTTACAGGTATTGCCAGCAAGAAGGTGCCACCTACCCTTTCCATTAAAAAAAAAAAAAAATTGTTCACATCCTGCTTTACGGAAACACAGATAGAAGAACTGAAAATGATATTAGTGAGGTAACCGGGCAAGAGAGGGGAAAATACAGCACATGTATCCTTTAATCAAATCATTTCTCTAGATTTCACAAGCTTAATCACAAAGTTTGAAGGACAAATGGGTTAATAATGTCAATTTGAAAACAACTTCTCAATGAGAAACTTACCAAATATTTAGTGGGAACAATTAAAAACTTAATTATCATAAGCTCTCACAGCATAAAAAATACATAGAACTTTCACCATTTCTTTCTGACACTTTATTTAATATCAGCTAACTTTAAAGGAGATGATAACTTTAAAAAAAAATAAAATTCTTTTAAAACAAATACTTACAGATTTTTAATATCAACTGCCCCGCGGAAAGCCTTCCTTGGGATTGCCTGAATTTGGTTTTCACTGAGATCCCTGAAAGTAACAAGGGAGAAAAGAAAAGTTTTAAGATAGTATTTATAAGTTATGTACCAGGTGCTTAGGAAGAGATAGGACACTACAAAACACCTAAAACAGTATAATTCAATCTACAGCATTAAACACAATCTCTAATAAAATATGTATATTTCTAAAATACATTAAAGTTTGCATGAAATGATTTCTTGAAGTAATTTTCCAGATTTTTAATTCCATACGAAAATATATAATATAGCTCTTTTAAATGTAAGAGTTGATCCAATTTTCATAATAAAATATGTCTTGAAAAGAAATAGTAAATTGTCCATAACTCAATTACAAAGGGTTCTAACGTTTTAGCACTTGATATTTCTCTAACCTTACAGACATATGAAATACAGAAAAGGAGTTCACTTTAACCCCACTCAGAGGAGTGGGTAAAAATTGATAAAACCTAGCTAGTGTGATTAAATTTTCAAGAACACTTGCAGTAAGCTTGAAAATGCTACATGACAGTACCGGCCCAACAATGAAACCACAGTTTTGCACAGAATATGAACAGCAGATTGATTTAAACTCTTGTTTAAATAATTCCATTACGACCATTAACACAGATTGTCTACATTTGCATTTTAATTTAATTGGGAAATACATTTTAATTCGGGGGGAGGGAGAAACACTCTTCAAATTGGAATGAGAATTTCATAAAAATCACTCATCTCATGAAATGGATCATTGTTTTTCCTTCAAAGAATGTAGATGCAATTCTATTTGCTAACATACTATTATTAGCCTTAACAAGTTGGATAGAAACACACATGCAAGAAACGCAGTAGAAAAAAAAAAAAAACAAAAACACAGCTAACTGTAAGTAACACCACCACAAACCAGAAAGCTAAAACCTCAAGTAAATAAGCTATTAAAGAAACAAGGATGATACTGCAATTATCTATAAAACTCCAAGATAACCGACACCTCACCGAAAAAGATGAGCCCACTGACCACAGTTGCATGGCAGGTGAAATTAGAGCCATTTTCCAGTTATGTAGAGGGATCTGGCACGGATTCATCCACAGGCTCTCCCTCAATGCTGCTTATGACCACCACTTAGTGCTCACACACTTGAGGCCAAGCAATCGAGAGAGATAATTGGCAGACATCGAGATTTAGTGTGTCGTCCTGCCCTGCTGACCATCGAATTTTAAACTACTGAGATTTGCATTTATGTCTCAATATCCACAATGTTCAAATAAAAAAATAATGGTAAACAATTGGTAAAGCAAAATATATATTAGTCCATTTAAAGAGGAAAGGTCTTTAGCAGGAAAGAGATTCTATTTCCAACAATAGGTGTTTATCTAAGCATTTAAGTATCCATCTTTTCCTAAGCTGTGCATCTCCGTTACTATTTTCTAATATCTTTAAGAGTAAAACTAATTAATTTCCTTCAAACTTGATTATTTCTGACTTGCCATTCATTCAGACTCTCTTCCTTCCTTTGTTTAATTACACTGGGTTAAAAATGTTTAACAATCTATATTTGAAAACCTTGATGCTGGAAACAGTGTTCAAGAAGGTTATACAGCAAGAAGGCAAAGACAGAAACATCAGAAGTATTAAAAAGTGAGGAGGGAGAAAAGATTAAATTCAAGTGCATTTGAAGGTGTAACAACAAACCCTGAAAACCAACAGGAGTTTTAGCTGCTGTTTTCTTGCCAAGCCACTGTTTTCTAATGTCTTCTTTCTTTCCTTTTCTCCTCTTTCTTCTTCTTTCTTTTTAAAACACTTTTGCAAAGAAAAAGACTGCTTCTAAGAAAATGAAAATGTTAGAAAGAAGTTTCCTTCAGACCTTCTGGCTTCCAGGCTCTGCAGCCTTCCTACCCCAACAGGTGGACCCCCAGTTCATGTCTTCCGCCTGCAGTCTCACTTATGCTCTCCTTGGCAAGCTTTATCCTAGGGTCACTGTTATAAACTGAAATATGTGTAATCGTGGCTGGGCCATGATTCTCAGTATTATGTAATTATCCTCCATTTTGTGATCCGATGTTAATCACCTCTGTGATGTTAATGAGGCAGGAGTAGAGACAGTTATAATGAGGTAGGATACGATCTACAGGATTAACTTGTATCTCCAGTCAATCTTGTTTGAGATATAAAAGGGTTTAAACAAGCAAGCAGAGATCAGAGGGATTTACTACCATCAAGAAAGAAGAGCCAGGAAACAGCACGTGCTTGTGACCTGTGGTCCCTGCACAGAGAACCCAGAGACCCAGGTGAAAAGTGATGCCACGACACATGGTGATCTTCAAGTAATGTTGGGTCCACAGATGCTGAAAGGAGACAAGGGCCTTCCACTAGAGCTGAGTGAGAGAGAAAGCCTTCCCCAAGAACGGCCAATCTGAATGTGGACTTGTAGCTCCTACACTGTGACAGAATAAATTCCTGTTTCTTAAAGCCATCTGCTTGTGGTATTTCTGTTACAACAGCACTAGAGAACGAAGAAAGTCATGTTTCTAAATGAGAGAACAATGAGAGTCATGAGTGTAGGTGGTTCATAGAGGAATCACTGAAGAGCAGTGAGACCCAGTCAGAAGGCTTTTCTTTTCCAACTCGATTTCAGTCCTTCTGTGTATCTTAGGCAGGATGCTAGGGGGAAGAATGGCTATATTTGCTAACACTCACTGTTGTTGCTGGGAGCCACTGGATCAATTCTGACACACAGGGTGACCCTATGTGACACAACAGAACAGATTCATAGGGTTTTTCTTGGCTGTAATCTTTACAGAAGCAAATCGCCAGGCTTTTTTCCCACAAAGCTGCTGGATGTGTTCAAACCACCAACCTTTCAGTTACTGATCTCTCTTTTCTTCCAGAGGAGTCACGTCAACGGCTTACCCATGGTCAATAACCTCATGACTTCTCTCCAGTCCACTGTGTGGTGGGGCCACTGCTCTAGAACTCAGTCCACTCCAGGAAGACACTTTACTCACAGATTCCAGAAAAATGGGCTGTCTTCACCAATGCAGGATGAAGAAACTAACATTTTCAATTATTGCATTCAAAAAGAAGATTCTTAATGAGATGGACTGACCCAGGGGCTACAACATGGGCTCAAGCATAGCAACTATTGTAAGGATGATGCAAGACTGAGCAGCGCTTTGTTCTGTTGTACATAGTGTTGCTGTGAGTTTGAATAGACTCAACAGCACCTAATGACAACAAATTAAGTTTACAAAGAATGTATTATCTTATTTAGTTTTCAAATCCAGTAAAGAAATGAGGCAAAAAGCCAGGTTGTTATTATCAGGTGCCTTCGAGTCAGCTCTGACTCATACCAACCCTATGCACAACAGAATGAAACACCACCCAGTCCTGCACCATCTCCACAATCCGTGCTATGCTTCAACTCATCATTGCAGCCATAATGCCAATCTATCCAGTTAAGGGTCTTTCCTCTTTTCTCCAGCCTTCATTTTCAAGCACGATATCCTTCTCCAGTACTGGTCCCTTTTGACACGACCATAGTAGGTGAGACAAAGTCTAGCCTAAGGAGGTTGAAGGACAAAAATCTTTCCTCCATTTACCATGATGGTGCTTACTGGTCCAATTGTGAGGCAGCGGGTAGAGTGGGGGATAGTGCCTTTAGTGACACAAATGGCATACACAAAGGTACCAGGTCCAGTTGCCACTGAGTTGACTGTGATTCATGGCAATTCCATGTGTTCCAGAGCAGATCTGTACTCCACAGGCTTTTCAATGGCTCTGATCTTCTGGGAGTAGATTTCCCTGAGGTACCTCTAGGTGGATTCAAACAGCCAACCTTTTGGTTATTAGTTCAGAGCATAACCATTTGCAGTGCTCAGTGAATATTAACAGAACTACAAAAACATAGAACTTTTTGTGAGAGTAGTTTTTGGTGTGGTCTACCTAGAAAGTATAGCACAGGTAGTGGAATAATAAGAGGAAGTTTGAAGAACAAAGAACACACCAAGAATATTTTGAGTAGACTTCTTGGTTTCAATTGAGGACTGTGTTCTTAATTCTGCAAACAGTAGGGAGGAGAGTATGGTAAATAGGAGGATCAGGGCAGATACTATCCCTCAAATATATTAAACTGGAAATTGGAATTAGGATGACTAGATAGGCTTGCTATGAGTATAGAAGACCAGATACAACACTTCTTCGAAAACTGGGGACAGGGTAGTGAGAACGTCAAGCAATGTAACAATAAGCAGTGCATTGCTTGCTTAATATGGGCCAGTTAATGTATGCATTGTCTCCCACAATGTAAACAGAAAACATGGTGATGAGCAGGAGCCCTATCAGGAATTCAGGAAGAACCAAAACCAACATAGAACCTGTTTGCATGTGGAGACGAATAAGGTGAAGGAGAGAGAAGACACAGGGGTCACGTTGAATTTAGAATAGAGGGATGGACATTAAAAACAAACCAAAAAAAAAAAAAAAAAAAACCTGTGGAATCAGAAAAGTGCTTTGAAGTGTCAATACTGAGTTTGATCTTGAAGACTTTTCAATCAACTTGGAAAGATCTGAGTATATGTGCAGACAAGTTCAATGACAACAAAGACAGTAAAAGGCAAGCAACATGTGAGAAGTGTCTGAGAGCAATAATCTAGGAGATAAGAGAATAAATTGATTGTAGGCATGATTAATTCAGAACAACTTAAAAAACAAAATGGAATCTTACTTGAACCTTCATAAAAATGACTTAACTCAGTAATTCTCCGACTTTTAAGCTTAGCTGAAGAAAAAATAGTGTAGATCTTGGACCCAGATGGTTGAAATTGAACTCTAGCTCTGCTATTTGTTAATTATGTGATAGTAGGCAAACTGCTCATTCTCTCAGGCCCTGAGTATCACCATCTGTAAAATGGCATAACAATAGTGCACAACTCACAGGGATGTTAGGTGGATTCGCTGAGTTCATATATTCAAAATGCTTACAAGGTGCCAGCACATAATAAGAACTACAGCCAGGATGCTCCTTGGAAGCGAGG